GTGCACCCTCCGCCACCCCGGCCATGGCGCAGAAGCCGAAGGTAGACCCCCACGTCGGACGGCTGGGATACCTGCAGGCGCTGGTCACGGAATTCCAGGAGACGGAGAGCCAAGGTGAGAGCGACAGGATGGGGTTCGGGGGCAGGGCGGGGGTCCGCCCGCGACCCGCGACCCTCGCCCCGGACCTGGCTCCAGTGCCGCTTTTCCGCTGCAGACGCCAAGGAGCAAGTCCTGGCCAACCTCGCCAACTTCGCCTATGACCCCAGCAACTACCAGTATCTGCGACAGCTGCAGGTCCTGGATCTATTCCTCGATTCGCTGTCGGAGGAGAACGAGACCCTGGTGGAGTTTGCTATTGGTAAGGATGGGGAGGTCACGGATGCCTGATGGTGAGATAAGCGAGTCCGAAGTGAGTCGCTGGGGAGAGACCTCGGGCAGTCCCTCACCGCAATGGCAGCCTTCGGGGTGTGCGCACGGTCCGGGTCACAGCTAGCGGGACCCTCTGCATGCTGCCTTCCCACCTGCTTAGAGATGAGATCATAAATGAAGGGATGGATTGAAGCCACTCGGAGAGAAAAATATTTAGAGTGCTCTTTTAAACATCTTTATTTTAATGTTTTCCTATCAAGGAAAGTAGGGGTGACTTAGGATGACTTATGGTCTAAGTCAGTGGTTCTCAACCTTCCTAATGCCACGACCCTTTAATACAGTTCCTCATGTTGTGGTGACCCCCAACCATAACATTATTTTCGTTGCTACTTCATAACTGTAATGTTGCTACTGTTATGAATCGTCATGTGAATATCTGATATGCAGGATGTATTTTCATTGTTACAAATTGAACCTAATTAAAGCATAGTGATTAATCACAAAATCAATATGTAATTATATATGTGTTTTCCGATGGTCTTAGGCGACCCCTGTGAAAGGGTCGTTCGACCCCCAAAGGGGTGGCGACCCACAAGTTGAGAACCGCTGGTCTAAGATCTATTGAATTATTCACTGGACAGGTAATTATGGGGCATGAACTGTGTGAGCAAGGTCCTGTCCTATGTGCTGAAGAGATGGCGAACAAGTCGGGGGAAAGGCCTTTCCCGCAGGGAGAGGGGGAGGCAGATGGTGGGCAAACCAACCAAAAGGCTGAGGCTCTGAAGGACATTCACAGGATAAGACAGGGCAATAGGCAATAGGAGATGGGGCCGCTGCACTTCGGCCATCATGGGCAGGCGGACGTGATGGGTGGGAGCCCCTGAAGCAGGAGGATCCAGAGGAAGGCTGATGTGTCAGGACTCGTGAGGTTACAGAGGTGGCAGCACCAGAGGCGGCTGGGAGGGGCTTAGATCTAGGCTGCAGGAAAGAGTTTGGAGTTTATTCTGAAGGCAAACCAATTATTTTTTCAGCTGCATCTCTAAAAAAATAACATTTTTTGCCCTCTCCGGTTTGGCTCAGTAGATAGAGCGTCAGCCTGCAGACTGAAGGGTCCTAGGTTTGATTGCAGTCAAGGGCACATCCCCTTTAATTTCCTGTAACCTAGAAATTAGAGTGAAAGCCTTGATAGAATCAAGTAACACTCCCCCCGCCCCTGCCAAATATATCATAGGTGAGTGTGATTGAAAATTTTGAAAGACCACCCATGTCTGCCCCTGATGTTTGTGGTATTGTGGCTAGAGTTGAAATGGGAGTCACCCCTGATCTTCTCACCACGACAGGTCTTCACACATGTGTGTGGACATCCCAATTCTGTTCACACGCCCACACACACCTGCCTGTGGCCTCTCCTTGGACTTAGTGTGCACACCAACCGTGGGGTTCACCCTGGGAGTCAGGAATCCAGGAAAGGCCCAGGCGCTGTGGGAGGAGGTTCAGGGCCTGGTGTGGGGAAGGGAGGACTTGGGTAGGTTCTCTGGATTTTTAGCCTGTGGAGCAGGCCAGAGTGAGTCCCGCTAGAGCTGAGCCAGGGGCAGGAGCCCCAGTGGGCTGGGTCTAAGAGAGTGGTGCTAGCAGAGGGGTGGGCAAACTTTTTGTATATA